TTTCACATCCTGCCGCCCCACCCCCCCCCACCCCCTGGCCCCACAGGCCCTTCTGATGGATGAAGTTTTAATGCTGCTCAAAGGATTCATTCGTTCATTCATTGGTTGGTTTCACTTGCTTGCTGCATTTGCATAATGGGCGCCCTTCCCCAGCGGCCCCCCTCAACCTCCCACCTCCCTTCCCGCAGGTGAGACACCGCCGCCCCTGGAGGTGAATTAAGTGGTCCAATCGGACACTAACAAGACGTTTGCTGTCGGCCATCTTAAATGATTGGTGATCACTTGAGATGTCTGCAGGAAGTGGCGGTGACCGGGAGGATGCTTCTTTCATTCTTGCGCCAGATTCATCATTAGCCGTGGGCGGGGGGTGCAGTGGGGGCGTTATGGGGGAGGTGGTGCGTCCTTTATCCCGGCCAGCATGTTTTCATCAGCAGCGGCCCGAGTGAATTATTCAGATTTGTGCAAATGACGACTTTTCATTTTCCGCCGGCGCGAGTGGAAATTGAACGTGACCCCGGCGACCCACCGCTATACGGCTGCCGGCGTGTAAGGTCGGCAAGACGGGGTGGCGTCGCCGAGACGCTTAACCCGCTTTGTTAACCCGAACCCGACCCGTGCTTCGCCTTTTATGAACACGCTTTAAATATTCTTGACAGAACAAAAGCAATCGTGTTGGCACACTGCCGCCGGGTTAGGGGGCGCCGCCCGACACAACCCGCACTTACGGACAGGAAGGTGAAAACGACAACACAAAAGAGGGCGCGCGGCGCGCGTTGGCCACACCACAAGTGATTGCCGTAACCATAGTTACCCGCTTCACTTTAATCTGTACACCACATCTTCTGATCACACACCAGTCAAGCCGACATAAAAGTGACATTTGCTGGCGTGGCGTAGCAGTGTTACACTTGTTCCATGTAGTAATATAGTAGCAAAGGTGTAATAACCATCTTACATTGTCTTAATACCATAATGTGTAATCGTGAATCTTAAAAGTCTAACAAATGTTAGCATCTAGTAATGAGTAATAACAGCATAGCGCATAGACCATGTGTTAAGAGTGTTGTATCAATGTAATAATTGCTAGCATGTGGTAACAGTGTGATTGGTGTGCTACACGGGGAGAGAATATGCAACAAGTGTTTGCAGCAAGTTAACAGTGTTGCGCGTGTGACAGCTTGGTGACACATGTCAGATTGCATATTCTGCAATAGTACATATGTAGTAAGAAGTGTTCTCGTGTAATAACAGTGTAAAAAGTCTGTTACGTGTTGTAACATTGTGACTCGGGTCAGCAGAGTGATACATGCAGATAACAAGTGTCATAAGTGTGTTGTGTGAAGCACTATTTGTGTAATACGTGTCAATGTATTATAACAAGGAAACAAGTGTTATGGTGTTGTAACTGTAATAAGAGCCTTTTCATGTGTAGTTTCTTAACATGATTAGACTTCACTAGTGTTGTCTGTTTACAAGTGATGATGTCATCGGTCCCTACGGCGGCCGCGATTGGTTCCTTGACGAGCGCCACACCTTGGGGGTCAAGTGGCTGTAATCACCTCAAATGCGTGGCGGGGGTGATGGATGAGACGCGGCGCAAAACAGGAAGCAGAGCGGCGCAAACAGGAAGTGAAACGAGGTGTCTCATATTAAAAAGGGAGGGGTCAGCGTACGGCGGGAAAGACACTCACCTCGCCCGCCGACGAGACGCTTTCACGGATGCTTCCTTCCGCCGACGTCAAGTGGACAAAGTGGCGGAGGAAATTGGAGCGCCTTGTAGATCGGATCTGGCCGCCTGCCCGTCCGTCCGCCTGTCGCTCCACAAACGCAACCAGGCCGCTGCCATCAAACACCCGCTATATGGCATCCATCCGCACTCGCGTGACATTTTAGATTGCTTCTGCAAAAAACACACACACACACGGAAAGATTAAACACCACACACACATGCACACACACAGAATCACTGTGACTGCCGTCGCTGTCATCCTAATTGTGTTGTGACTGCGTTGTAGTTGTGTAGTCATGCGCCTGCGGTGGCATCGATGTAGCAGCGTGTTTATGTTTATGTGCGGTTGTATGTCTGCCAGCACGTGAGTGTTGCTGTGTCGTTCATTTTTTGGTTTGATTTTGTTGACGTGTCGTCGTGTCGTTGCGTGTCTGCTAGCATGTTAGCAATCGTGTTGTGCTTGTGCCTCGATGCTTGAGTCAGTGTGGTTGATGCGTTGTTGTCTCTGCTGCTATATGAGTGTAATTGTTGTGTTGTTGTGTTGTCTCTTGCCTGCTGGCAAATTGTTGTCTTGCTTGCGGGTTTTGTTCTCAGCGCATTTGTTGTTGTTGTTTTTGTTGTTTTTTGTTTTTTTTTGTCGCTGACGTGCCTGCTGGCATGTCGGCGTTGTTGTTTCTGCTATGTTGTGGTTGTGTAGTAGTGTATCAGTGTAGCCGTGTTGTTGACGTGTAGTAGCGCCGGCGTGTGTCTGCCAGCATTTTTGTGTTGTTTGTGCAGATTTTGGGGTCTGCCGACAGCTGATTGTAGTTGTGTTGCTCATGTGTTGCTGGTGCATCAGTGTCTGTTGTGTGTTTTTGTGACATATCAGCGTACTGTGCCGTTGACGCGTAGTTGTGCTGTTGCATTGTGTCTGCGCTGCTGGCATGTCAGTGTCGTTGTTGCACTTGTGTGTCTGCGGTGGTGTCAGTGTAGTTGTGAGTGAGCAGCATGTAATTGAATTTGATGCAGCCTGGAACATTTCATTTTACACCTCCTCCCCACCTCACCCACTCCATCACTCTGCAACTGTGTGTGTGTGTGTGTGTGTGTGTGTGTGTGTGTGTGTGGATGCGGGCGCGAGCAGAGCCCCTCATAACATATTTATTCTTTCTTCTATTTGACACTGTGTGTTTGCCCATCTTGTGTGTGTGTATGTCCTGATTATGTGCAACTAATTTGTGCGTGTGTGTTGGGGGCGGGGCTTAGTGCGGCACATTTAGAGCGCAGATCAGCGCAAATGGTGCTTTTAATTTGGAGGGCCGATCGATGAGGAGACTTGAGCGTTCAATGAAGCTTCTGATGAGGTCTTAAGCCGCCCGGGCCCCCGGGGGCCCGAGGGGGAGCCCAAGGGCGGGGCCGTGCCGCGCCGCGCCACGCCGCCCGCGGGCCGTAATGAAGTGCGGCTATGCGGCGACATGCGGCGGCGGGAAAATAGATTGAAGATGACGAGCTCTCCAAAGTCATTTCTCCGACTAACCCCCTCTACCCCTCACCCCACATCCCGCCCCCAAGGCCCCCACCCCTCAGTTGCCCCACCTGGCGCGGATTTACGGCAGCGTTCCGGAGCGAGATGCAATTTTTATGACCTTATTGCTTTTCTAGCACGCTAATCGCTTAGCGTCTGCCAGCAGACATGTTGCCCCCCGAGACCGCCGCTGGGTCATCCCATCATTGCCCCCCGCCCACGCGCATCGCCACAATAAAAGCCTCGTGTGTGTCCGCTTTCAAATCGATGGCTAACACGCTAACGCTTCCTTCCATAGGGATCCCGGTCCGGGCGTCCCCATTGATTGATGCATGATTGATTGATTGATTGATTGATTGATTGCTGTCAAACATACAGGTTTAGCATTAGCCACATTCGCATTAGCCGCACTATAGATCATCAGGCCCACTCATGTGATGGCTAATCAATGGCTAATTGAATCATTCGATCACCAGGACAACCGGCAAGGGGGCAGGGCTACATAGCACATATTTTTTTGAGTTTAGGTCGGCAAAGGTACAAGTTTAGCGCAGTTACATGAAATCTAACACAAAGCAAAATGCTACAACAGTGCTGATGCAACATTAGTACTATGTTAGCACAATGCTAAGACATAGTAAAAATTCATGAGCATAACACACTGAC